TGCCTTGGTAGAATGACGACCTGTGTGCGAAGTCGCACTTTACGGTAGAACAGTTTAACGAAGACTGATACCGGGCACCCTCAGTCCCTACGCAGGCTGATCAACGTGGTTACCCACCCGCTTACTGACCGCACCCAGTGATGCTTGACTTTGGCGTTCTATTAAGAACCGTGTCTTTACGATCAGTCCACTGCGAGACAGTTAACAAATAAAATTGGCGATTTCAGCAATTCAAATTTCATTTTCAAATTCATTTTATTGCATTTCAGCAAGATCGTCTCTCACTGAAATTTTTTTTTAGCAGTTTTACTCATAGAAATCGATATTCGGTAGTTAATTCACGAACTAATTATCGAATGTTAATTTTTTTATTATATTTCATCGTACTTTCTGTACATTCGTTCTGCACATATCCGCAATTTTAAGTTTCTAATTCTAAGAGTTCATGCACAGCAAAGCAAGACGTAGCGCGAAGAGGAGCACCCGAAACAGCAGTGGTGTCTTTTACGATTTTTTAGTAGAGAGATACAATAAATTTAAACCGGAATTAAATAATTCTCTATCAGTTTGAATACACTAATTTGTTAATTTTGAGCCGTGATGGCTCAGGGGATAGAGCGTTCGTCTTCCAATGAGGTAAACCGGGTTCGAATCCCGGCGATGGCTGGTCAATGCGAATTCCGCATCCGGCTTGTGCCGACCACAGTGCTGACGTAAAATATTCTCAGTGGTAGACGAATCATGGGTAAGAGTCCCTTTGCCGTCAGGCTAAACGTGGGAGGTTTTCGCGGTTTTCCTTTCCATGTAACGCAAATGCGGGTTACTTCCATCAAAAAGTCCTCCACAAAGACAAATTTCTCCCAATACTTGATCCAGGAGTTCCCTTGTCTTCCGAATTGGATTCAAAATTACAAGACTACGGAGTTGAAGTTGTAAACCCAAAAGTCGGCTGTTGAAGGACGGTTATAAAATAATAAAAAAAAATAAAACTTTGGTTATTTTCACTGAATAACTATAACATTTACACCTCATTTACCCATACACGATTGTTATAGGTGTGTGTTTGTTTGGAACTTAGGGTGAGTTCTCAAATCTGTTAAAGCAGCTCAAAGATATATTAAGGTCAGAAGGGAATTCACAGAGGGTCATCATTAGTTAGTTTTCGTGACGAGTTTGAACCCGTGTAACGAATACTTTCATTACTCGTTCGTATTCAATTAATTCGGACGTGCTTATAAGGAACACTTTGCGGTTAATGAACTGAAAATCTGCATAAAAATTTAACTCTTCAAGTTTATTTAGTTTTTTTTAAATGCTTTTTCGGAACTTACTTTTATGATAACACTTTTCATGTTTTTAAATATATTTTAATAAAACTATTCTAAATAATTTAAAATTACTGTTAAAAATGTTGGTATTTCCGGTATTTGAGCATGAAAAAAAATTAGTCGCGTTATTTTTTTAGTATAAGAACGTATGGATAAGTATATCGTATATAATAAGAAAGCTTCATAATCTTTTATTTAACAATCGTATTTTCGGACATTATGATGCAAATATTTCGAGATGCCAATTTTAATTATACTAATTAATTAATGTATACAACATTTTTAACTACGAAATCGGGCACAAAATCACAGATTCCTTGAAATAATATGCCATTGTTTTCGGCGGATTTGTATTCTAGACCCTCAAAACAAGGAAGGGGGGGGGGAAGAGTAGATAAAATATGGTCTAAATAAGCTTACGTAGAGGAGCAGTCGAAAGTAGGGATCAAATTTTTTGCGTATTTCATCACATCTTAGACCTATTTAAGTGAATGAAATGAGTTTTAACCGCAATTGTAAAACTCATTTAATTGCATTTTTTAAATTTTTATTTCTCAAAAACTATTGACCCGATTCCGTTAAAATTTCGGAATTTGTACTTTAAATTGATTAAAAAAATTTTATACTTTAAAACTGTTTCGAGTACTAATTGCTAATTTCAGCCATTTATAGCCATTCAATTGCATTTGTTCAAATTTTGCTTTTAAAAAATAAAGTGACTGAGATAAGGTAAAAAAATTTTTTCCTTACAATTCAAAAATAATTTTAATCATTATTAAATAATAAATAATTATTAAAAATTTATTATCACATGAAATGAAAGTTGCGTAAAAACAATAAGTCTTATGATCTGCAGTGAGGAAGAAAAACTCAAAAACTAAAAATAATATTAATACCAAATTTCGATCAGCTTTCGTGACTAAAAAAGTTGATTAATTTTGATGAACAAAATAAAATAAAATGCGTCGAAAAAGTGGTATATTTATTCAAAAAAAAAAGAAAAAGAAAAAGAAAGTGTTTGCGTCTAATTTCGTAACTTAAATCATAGGTAGTACTAACTAATAAACACTTCGGTTTGCACCGACCGCAATGCTGACGTAAAAATATCCTCAGTGGTAGACGGATCATGGGTTAGAGTCCCTTTGCCGTCTGACTAACTATGGGAGGTTTTCGTGACTTTCCTCTCCATGTAACGCAAATGCGGGGTAGTTCCATCAAAAAGTCCTCCACGAAGGCAAATTTCCTCCAATACTTGATTCAGGAGTTGCCTTGTGTTCTGGATTGGGTTCAAAATTACAAGGCTACGGAGTTGAACATTAGTAGTCCTAAACCCAAAAAATTGGTCGACTGTTCAACGACGGTTATAAAATAAAAAATAAAAAAGTTGATTAATAAGCATATTTTAAGTGCATCTTTCAAACCTTTTGGATTGTATTTTTGTACTTGAAAATGCGATCGTTCAATCAATATTCCTGGACGATGCTCCTTTTTTTTTTTTTTTTTTTTTTTTTTTTTTTTTTTTTTTTTTTTTTTTTTTTGGCTCGCTGTACAAACTAAGAATGTAGCACAAAAAGGAAACAAAAAATAAAAAGCAATGTATTGAGCACTACAAAGAAAAGTTTAACTGCCATTTTCGCTCATTATGTTGTCTTTCTGCACTATTTACAAGGTTCAAATATAGCCCACTTGTCGTAGTCTAATGTAGAAATTAATAACGCAGAATAGCAACAAAAAAAAAATACTACGTTTATCGAATTTATAAGAATTAAATAAATGTAATAATCATTGAACCAAATATTTATTGAATGCAAACTTTTAAAGAATATTTATTCTAAAAAGAGCAACTATGAATTTAAATCTAATGAGAGCAACGATATTTGAGAATATTTTTTATACTTAAGAATGAAAAATACCACATAACATAAAATACACATACATTTACCACATAATAAACGGACTGACCGCAAATTAGAATAATTTCGCAAATTAGAAATAGAATTAGTTAAACCGCAAATGAGAACATGAATTCGCTTAAGAACTATTCTATGAACACACTTTTTATTCGGTTTTCACAATTCATTTCCTGAGTTATTGTTTGGTTTTTATAATTTATTCTATATTAATTATTTAGTTTTCACAATTCATTCGATGAATATACTTATTGTTTGGTTTTCACAATACATTATATAAATATAAGAATCAATTTTATTCTTTAAAATGTTCTTCAATTGCAAATGCTGTTTTCACTAATTACTTATTACCTTTAAATTAATGTTAAAAACTGTTAAAAAAAATTACTATGTTTTAAGTAATTATGGTATGTAATTTTATTGTTTTATAACGTCATCATTCCTGTAAATTTATTAATTTCATTTACTAGTTTTTCAAATATTTTCTTTTTCAATTTTTGTGTTAGCCTTTAAAATGTGCTGATTATTTTATTAACACTAGATTGCCCAAGGAAGTCATTTTGAATGCTTTTTAATTTCAATTAGAAAAACAATGATGTACATAATGACACAATTTCTTAGAATTTAGTGACTTTTTGTACAACATATACTTTTCTTTATTGTTAACATTTACTAATTACTTGTTATATAACTGTAAATAATGTTAAAAATATTAATTTTATACAAATTTCTTTACACATTAGTTATTCTTTCACAGTGCAGCCATTTTGACTGCTTTTGGGCTATATAGGTATATACTAAGTTTCAGCCTTTCCAATGATAATTTCTAAATTTTAGATTGAAGGATAAAGGTTAGAATTTTAAAGGGTTAAATACGTCGAATAGACATGACAATAAAATGAATGAGTTTTGTATGTTGTTATTATTTTTATAATATAATTCTTCGCATATTTAATAAATTTTTAAATTTTATTTCAATCAATAAGTTTTTTAATTCAATAGTCCGTCCCAAACCTATGCAGACGTGATTTTAGTTATTTCAAATTTTAGATGGAAATATAAATTATATTTGATATTTTCTGATATTACAAGTTATTATAATTCTCCGTATATTTAATAAACTTTTCAATTTTCTTTAGATTAATAAGTTTTTAATTCAATAGTTCGGCTCAAACCTATGCAAACTTGATTTTAGTTATTTCAATTTTTTAGAAGGAAATATAAATTATTTTCGATATTTTCTGATATTAAGTGTCATTATTATTATCATAATTCCCCGCATATTTAATAAACTTTTCAATTTTCTTTATATTAATAAGTTTTTCAACTCAATATTTTGTCCCAAACCAATGCAGACGTGATTTTAGTTATTTCAATTTTTTAGAAGGAAATATAAATTATATTTGATATTTTCTGATATTGCATGTTATTATAATTACTATAATTCATCGCATATTTAATAAATTTTTCAACTTTCTTTAAATTAATAAGTTTTTCAATTCAACAGTTCGTCCCAAACCTATGCAGATGTGATTTTAGTTATTTCAATTTCTTAGAAGGAAATATAAATTATTTTCGATATTATTTCAATTTAAATTTCACTTCCCGTTCGTCCTCAACTCGTGCTAAACTAGATCTTATCATTTCGATCTTTCCCGAATAAAGGTAAAGAATCTCTTAAAGTCAGTATTTTGCATAAACATAAAATTAATAAATGAGATCAAATAAAAAAAAGAAGTGTAAGGGGGAGAAAACAACTTACCTTAACCCCATTTCTGCGAAGGTTATAGACGTTGTTTGTGAGAGAGACGGGCGAACAAGACTTGAGTGTGGACAAGAGTTAAATAACCATCCGACTGACCCCGATTCCATCGACACCAATGGAGAAAGAGAAAACCGGGTCTACCGGTCTCTCCTTCCACGAAAAGAATTAGAATATGAAGGTTTTAAAATCGAATACTTTCAGATCAACTTTTTTTTTTTTCAGTGAGAAATTTTCTTAGTTGAGAATTTATGCGTGAAAGATATCAGAAATAACGCCTATCAGCACTCTTTTATCCCCTTTTTATTTTATTTTATAACCGTAGTTGAACAGATGACCCGATTTTTGGATTTGTGATTACTAATGTTCCAACTCCGTAGACTTGTAATTTTGAACCCAATCCAGAAGACAAGGGAACAATTGGTGGATCAAGTATTGCGGGGAAAATTTCCTTTGTGGAGGACTTTTTGTTGGAACTAATCCCCATTTACGTAACATGGGGAGGAAAACCACGAAAACCTCCCGTGGTTAGACTGGCGGCATGGTCTATATCAGGGGTTTCCAACTTACATGAGGCCGAGAGGCGCAATTAAAAACGCCAGTCAAATGGCGGGCCGCCTCAACTTTATTAAAATTTTATATAGGACTCTTTTATGTATGTTGTCATACATATCTACATATGTCTTTTATGTATGTATGATTTTTATCAAGTTGTACAAAACAAAGTATTGAATTACACATAAAATAAGAAGTAGATTTTTACCTGAGAAATAAATTGTTTGTAGCGTTAGTGTGTTAAATGTCACAAAAACGAAGAAATTAGGTTTTTTAAACAAAGAAAAGTGCTCTAAACCCATATAGATTTTTTACGAAAATAGTCCGCAAAAAATGTTAATTAATATATTTTAGTTCGTGGGCCCCAAAAAAGGCTTGGCGGGCCGGATGTGGCCGCGGGCCGCAAGTTGGTAACCACTGGTCTATATCAAGCTGACAACACAGAGGCAAAACGAACCCCAACTACGAGATTCAAGCTAGTTTGGGACTGGCTTGACTTTCGATTATAAACACACCTTAAGTTATTTTCTCTCCTTCTCAAAGCGTAATCTAACAATGTTTGCCGTTCGTCTTGTACAGCTAATACTAAAACAAAAAAAAGTAAATAAAAATAAGAAATTGTTTTTTAAAAAATCTGACTTAATTTTAATTTGCCGACTGGATGAAATCACTGAGGGGGGGGGTTAGACACCCCTCTCAACCCCCATTGACGACGGGCCTGAAACTGGTGGATCAAGTATTGGGAGAAATTTGCCCACGTGGAGACTTTTTTTTTAAGCAACTAACCCGCATTTGCGTTACATCCTGCAGAAGACCACGAGAACCAGCAAAGGGACTCTAACCCATGATCCGTCTACCATTGAGGATATTTCACGTCAGTACGGTGGTCGGTGTAAGCCGGATGCGGGTCTTTTAACCCTTCGACAAATACTTTCTAGTGTGAGACTGTGATATTTGAATTTGAAAAAACATATGTCATGTGCCTAGTGCGAATACAATAAAATTAATAACAGAGGGAAGAATTTTTTAACTCGAGAATGAAAAGTCACTGGGAATGGTACTAATAAAAATAAAAATCGAAGTTTCGGACTAAGTCCCAATTCAATAGAATTATTTGTAGCAGAAGTAAAGAAATTAAATAGAAAATTAAATGATAATTTTCCTTTCAAAACTTTTTCTTGTGAACCATATGGTGAAAAAGCTGCGGGAATGCTTGTTCAGGGGGAAATTTATAGTAAGGCTAAAAATAGGAATCTGGCGTGATTTGTTTTTACACTTTTATTATTTTTTTCCATACAACACAATAAATTAAAAAGTGAGTAAGGTGAATGAGCTATAGGGCGAATCTTCCCATAAGCTTCTTCTTGATGACAACCAGTCAAGTTCAAGCAATGAGCTCATCTGACAAAAGACTTTTAAGTCTGAATTTCTTAAGCGTTGGTGTACGTAGTTTTCGTCGTGTAATTTATTTCTCATGAAGTGCAACTTTTGATGATTTTGTTACCAAGGCAACAGAGTGCACATATTTGTTAACCATAAAACTATAGCTGGTACAATGCACAAAATGAAAAATATACCACCCTATATGACTTTTGTTCTGATGATCGGGTTTTTATGAACTAAGTACCAGTCCCAATGATAAAAAAAGTGACCTCAAATATGCTAATAATTTAAATTATGGAATCAGACACAAAAATGTACTTTCTGCAAATAAACATGCTTTTTTTTTTCGTTGGATTTTTATTTAATTTTATAACCGTCGTTAAACAGCACCGGCCCAATTTTGGGTTTACGACTACTTATGTTCAACTTCGTAGCCTTGCACTTTTGAACCAATCCTGAAGGCAAGGAAACTTCTCAATCAGTACCCCCAGGGGTATGATTTGATATGGGAACATGGAGGACTTTGAGACTCGTCAGATTTAACGTGCATTTAACATGCATTTTGATCGAACCCAAGACCACTTGGACATGGGCCCAGTGCCCTACCAACCAGGCTATCCCTGCACTTTTTCGTCGGATTAGGATTTTCGGCGATCAAAATATAGGGGCAGTCGCAATCTGGAATATAGGTTTCCAATAGCTTAGATAGGTTAGTCAAGAAAGCAGCCGATTAAAATTTGCTACAAAAAATAAATAAATAAAAATAAAGAAATAAATAAATTAATTAATAAAAATTATTTAAATCTTTTTTAAATGCTTAGATTAATATTTATAGCATTTTAATAGCTTAACAAAATGTTGTCTTTTTCTCTTTGTAATTACACCAATGCTGAAAGGTTAGCTTTGGCGCAAGTATAACCGGATAATGCCCGGATGGGAAGGAAAAATGTCCCTGACGAGTAAGTATCGAGAACAGAATTATTTCATGTCTCATGATTAAATGCAGAGTTGACTGGTTTAAACTATTGTGGTTTAAGCCATATCTATAAATATCAAACGGTTTTTTTTTCTTTTAAAAAAATCTTTTCATTAATAATTTTTTTTATTGTTTAGATAAATACTTTTAATTTAACAATTTTTTTTTTTTAAATTTTGAGTCTAATTGATAAAGTGGATCTGTCTTACACGAAATATACATAAATATGTCATTTTTAAATGTTTACATATCATTGCTTTTCTGGTAAAATATCTCTGTAGAACAAATTAAAGTGAGTAAGTTTCTGGTTAACTTATGTCTCTGAAAATGCTTCACCGATGCTAAAAAGAAAAGTTCGCTAAGTTCGTTTAAAATAACTTACAAGAATTTTACATTTTACCTAGTTATACCGTTTATTTATTTGATTATTTTAATTAGCTTCTATTGGTCTTGAAAAATATTTAAGTTTTTTAGTATCAGGGATTTTAAATGGTTACCATCTCAGAGTTTTTGAAATTAAATATATATCTTAAAAATGCACAATTTTATGTATGTGAAATTTTTGTAGCTCGATATTTAACAGTATAACATGTTACAAGAAAAACATGTCTGCAGCCGGACCGGAGACCCTGAATGCCATTCTTAGTATTGGCGATCGAAATGGGCTATAGGTGGCGCAGAGCAGAACTCTCTACCTATGGCAACACTTTGCAGGCTTTCCCCATTAGCGTGTGGAGAGTCATAGGAGAAGTAAGTACGTTAGTTTCTGTCTTGATATTCAAATAGATTAAAAACTTTTAAGTTAGGAAACTATATGGAACTGAAAACTACATTGAACATAGTACTAAAAGAAAACGTAGTGGAAATTTAAAAAAAATCTATTTTTGACAGTTGAATACCAAAAATATGAAGAAAGGGGAAAATATCGTGGTACATTAGAAACTGAGAAGAGGAGCAGAGGGAAGGGGGTCAAGACANAATATTTTCCACGTACCCTCGCTAAACTGCTCCCGTACCCCTGGGGGTACGCGTACCACACTTTGGGAAACACTGCTATATGGAACTGAAAACTGCATTAAACATTGTTCTAAAGGAAAGCATCATGGAAAATTCAAAAAAATATTTTTATTAATTAAAAACGAAAAATATTAAGAAAAGAAAAAATATCGTAGTACATTCCTATACAATTAAAAAGAGGAGGAGAGGGAAGGGGAAAGAGCCTAAAACATTGAACCGGTCAGATGGCGTATTCGAACGTTGCTATCACCTATTACCAGTTTGTAAAAAGTGGTAGCACATTTATTTTAAACCCTGTTTAAATTAAATGAATTTTTTTTTCTAGGCTTCAGTTTAAAAAGAAATTGAAAATAATTCATTACAAATTTAAATATAGACGGAATGGAGTTCTTCCGCATTAAGATTAAGAGACCAGGTTTAAAAGGTAATGGTGCATATCACACGTGCAGAAATTCGCCCAACACAACACACAACTTTCGTTCAACACAACAGTATGCAAAACTTTTAGCGCAACTTGGAAGTAGAATCATTGTGTGATATGCCAAACGAAGTTGAAGCAACTTTTTTCCTCCTCTTCGAAAAAGTTAGCCCAACATTTCGCACAACAACGCTTTTGACCAATCAGGTGAGAGCAGTCCACAACATTTCTTTCAAGAGAGAACAAGATGGCCAACTTGTGATGGTCTTTGGTGTTGATGTCAGATATTTGTTATTTCAGGTGAGTGTCAATACTTTATGTTTAATGTTTTTTTGCACAAAATATGATTCAATTCTAAAGAACTAATGTTATTGCATAGCTTATTTTTCAAAACGGCGATAGATTTTCTACGCCAAATTCGCCAATCTGAAGGAATATAAACAGGCGATGAATTTTAAGAGTTTAAATAATTTATTGATCCATAAATTACTAAGGCTGGAATTGATAAATATGCGAGATCCATTGTAAAATAATACACAGACAACAATCGCCAGGTAAAGAATACTGATTTTCACTTATGAAGAATCATAGTACGACTGTATGGGCGTTAAATTGCCGGGATAGAAGGAAGGCATCGGCGCGTTTACGATAAAAATTTTCATGAACTTTGGCAACCCTAGAACAACTTATCTTGCCGACTGAAAGTTTATCTTGCTGTTGCGTTGTGTGTTGTGTTGGGTGAATTTCTGCACGTGTGATATGGCTTTAAGTAAACGAGCGTTAAACTGCACCAAAT